TCCCAGTTGAAGCTGCCCCTCCAGTCCCTACATCTTCAATTTTCTTAGATACAACCCCAAACTGCTTAGGTACAACCCTTAACTGCATAGGTACAACCCCAAACTGCTTAGGTACAACCCCTGCTCCTTAAGTACAACCCCACAAGCTTAAATATATACAGCGGGGAGGGGTTGCATTTAAGAAGACGCTTGCTCTCCCCAGGTCCGATTCCACCTAAAAACCTGGTTTGTGGCTGTTGTAAACCCCGATTGCTTGTCAGGCTTTTAAAAATAAACATGTCAAAAAGTCAGCTTTCCAAACAAGAATTTGTGCTGGAAGCGACACAGGGGTTCCTTAAATACAAGCCCTCCCACCTATTGAGCTTTTCGGGGTGTTTAAGGAGTTGGGGTTGTTAAGCAGTTTGGGCTTGAACCAAAGAGTTTGGGGTTGTACCTAAAGAAATTGACCCTCCCCCCTCCCCCTTATCGGGGGTAGAGATGTAGGGACTGGGAAACCCCAGGAGGGTCCTAATCGTCATGCGGGCATCAGTACTTCCAGTGAAGCCGAGGTCAACTTTCATAATTCCTTGCACCTAAGGATTTAGGGGTGTGCTTAAGATGTGTCTGCCTTGCAGTGGCTTGCTCACCCATCCATTTTTTGACGTGAGCAAACATGTGGATGTAGCTGATATGCAGTGGCCAACAACATGAAGCTCGTACAGGCCAGAGCTGCACCGGGGGGGGGGGGGCTCGACACGCAGTGGGCGAGCGGCGCCAGCTGCAAGGAAAGGACGTACAGAAGCAACAATATGATTGCCACCAACCTCCAACCAGAAACGCCCTTCAACTCAGCGACCTTTTTCATTTGCCACCGCCCCGTTCCTTAAGCACACTAAGTCAGGAAGTTCCTGCATTTGAGTACACCCCTAAAAGGCCTTCGGTGCCTTCCAGGTCCACGGGGGCCGGCGCTTGCAAGCACCCTCGACCTTCCGGGGAAGCTCAAGAAAGCATCGCCCGCGCGCAGATCAGGACCTTTCCAAGCATCCAGGCCCTTGGAAAGGGTGGTGTGGATCTGTTGTTTTCTCGGTTGCTTTCTGCTCCCCTGCTAAGAGTTTAACTTTTAGTGGTTTAGTACGGAAAACCCATTAGTTGGCAAAAAGCTAAACTCCTAACATCTAAGCGAGATGCAACAAAGTGTTGGAGGTGTGCAGGGAAGATGGCTCCCAGAAAATCCTCTGCGCAAGCCAGGGGTTCGCCCGGTTTTTGAGACCAGGTCGGTATTCCCCCAAGAGTAAACCTGCACTTTTTTGTGAACCCTACAAACTCAGGTGTCCTGTAAAGCAGTCTGCAAAGAACTATCCTCCTTTGCGCCAGATCCTTCCAGGTCGGTGTGTTTTTTCCAGAGGATTTCTGCAAACGGTCCCAGCACATGGCTCTTCCCAGTCAGGCTTCTGCAGCTCCGAAAACGCCTTGATGTGCGGTGTCCTGCTTTTGGACGACATGCCCTTGGTTGAAGAACACCCCTAAAATCCCACCTGGTTTATTCAGCTGGGGTCCACATTTAGCAGTGTTCCGCTCGACTTGCTTCGGAAACCGCCAGCTGACACACCGACACACGCACGCATGCACAAATGTGCTGTAGCTCCCGTCAATACATTTACTCACGCACATTTGGGTGAAGTATAACTTAACCAGCAAGCCTACAAAGGAAGCGTCATCATGGCTGAGGCTCACCCCATAGGTCTCCATAATTCGCTGCACCTGCGCATGTGAAGACGCCAACAGCTCGCTTTCTGAGTTCCGCCGGGTGAAACTTCCACGGCTCGAGAAATGAACCGCTTCAAGCGGGGGAGGGGTGGGGTGAAATCCTCCCGGGCGCGTCAGCGTTTGACTGGGGTGATCCCTCTGTGCATACATGGGTGTGTCCTGAAAAAGGGGAACCTAACAATTGTGGGCTTTGCATTTGGCTTCCCTTTGAAATCAACCAGAAAAGAGTGCCCTCAAAAAACGACCCACTGGCACTGTCCAGTAAGCGCAGTCTGAAAGAGACCACCGGCTCGTGGCCGGGAAAGAAATTGTTTCTGACCCATGCCCTCAAAAGAGAGAAGTTGCCTCTTGCGATTTCGACGATTTCGCCGGCGGATTTCGCCCTTCTCGAAAGCTGATCGCTACCCTTTGTACAATACCCGCCGCAAGTTTCGCATCACCTCAGAAGCCGTCCCCCCCCCCCCCCCCCGGTTTCCCGTTGAAGGACGGGGCTGGGAAGCCGAACCCAACAGAAGTCATCATCCGACACAATCTGAACGATCGACGCTCACCGAACTGAGATGAGCTAGGATTCGCCACGGCGACCAACCACAGCCCAACACGGCGCTACGGCGCTACGGAACCTCTTTATGAAGCCCAAAACATTCAGTCTCTCCGGCTCCATGCTTGCATGTGACGTTGCTGCCGCTCTCTCATGGCACGGCCTCACCGCTTGGCAGGCTCTTGCCGCCTTTCTGCCCAAACTTGGATAATTCAAAAACCGGGAAAAAAGGGAGCGCGCTAGCAGAGGACCTTCACCAAAGGATCTTCTAGCTTCCCTCCCCAAAAAATGAACCACGGCTTTATTTGGGAGCAGTCGGAATCGACTCCTTCCAGCCAAGCGTCGCAGCGGCCTTCTTCTTTTTCTTCCTCGGCGCCTCCTCCTCCACGGCCTCCTCCGCAACCTCCTCTTGCACACGCTTCCTCGGACGCAGGCGTGGGAAGTTCCAAAACAAGACCCACCTTCAGTGCGGGTGTGGGTCAACCCAAAATGAACCCTGGTAAATTGAAACATGGACTAAAACCTGCGGTCCCCTAGTGGTTTAATTTGACCCACACCCATGTGTCCAGCTCCCTCAAAGTGCAAAATTTTGGCATTACCCTCCGAAACCCCGTGGCAAATGTCGAGGGAACCTCTGGCAGAGGCTCCGCCTTCAAGAACAGCATGTCTTAGCCAAAGGGGAGTCAGGAGTCAGGTTCCAAGCCCCCACACGCCAGCAGCAAAAGTGGAAGGCACATGCTGCCAAAACTAAAACAAGAACAACCAGTAACAAAAAAGCAACACGCTGGCAGAAAATCCAACTGGCAAACAGCACCAATCAAGCCGGTGGAAAAGGCGGTCAACGTTGTAAGGCCCAGCACGCCTGCCCCACCACGGGGTCTGTCTCAAAATCAGGAGGCCCACCAAATGCTCGACCAACAAGTCGAGTTCGCGCTTTGTCAACACCATTTTCAGGCATGGCTTATCTGCCATTATTACCACTATTAGGTGCTTCCAGCGGAGCTTGCCGCCCTCAACAGAAGTGGTGGATGACCTCCAAGCGTCCAAAACCCAAGTTCGCCTCGAGCCCGCAGGCCGCAAGACTAGAAAATTACGCCCAAGGCGGAAACTTCCGAGGTTCGCCGCCCCAGAAACCCACACCCCTTGCTTCCAAAAAAACAGAGAGAAAAGAAAGAAAAAAAAGGGGAAGAACAAAACCAACACATCCAACAAGAACCACAGACAGAGACCGGAGAAAATGATTGTATCACAAAACAAGACCCAAAACCAGGAGCTTCTTGACGCCTCCTCTCTCTGCCGGGCGGCTTCTTCTTCGGCACCGCGCCCTCTTCCAACACCTCCCCCGCTTCCTCTGCCGCCTTCGCCGCCGCAGCCTGGCCACGGAGCCGGGGGAAGCTCCCCAGGCCGCTTTAGACCCAGGGCTTCAGCCACCAGGAATTGGACCGGTTGAATCGTCCATGTGTCCATTTGCCAGGGCAACCCATTTTGGGTAATTACCTAGTTTTGACCCACGGGCAAATCCAAATCCAAACCACCAACCGAGGAGAACCTTGAAATGTGCCAAACTGGAGAACCCCCCCCCCCCACAAACCAAAAAAAAATGCCTTCCTCTCTGAGTTGTTGTTTGCTGTTGCCAAGCTGAATGGTGCACCGAGCCTCAAAAAACACACCACAGTTCGGGTGGGCCCAAGACAGACATGCAAATCAGGTACCAGTAGGCCCCCCAAAAGGTTCACACCCCGGATGAAGAGCAGCTCGTTGCGGCTCGGCCCAACCGTCCGATCCGGCACCCATGCAGGTGGAGGTCGGGTTTTGGGCGACATACCCTCCCACCAGCTAACATGAAAGTGCACAGACCCCCTGTAGAAAGACGACTTTCCTCTTGGAAAGGGCCTTTTTGCAGTTCCATGTTAGTTGGTGGGAGGGTACTACGACGACCATCCTCTTGAGACAAAAGGCCCCCACTCCCATCAGTGGAGTGCCACCCCACTCGGGCCTTCTTGGCCTTCTTCTTGCGCTGCTTTGTGACCTGAGCACTCGCAAATCGAGAGGTTCCGAAGCTCTCCCCAACTCTCCCCTTGGAAAAATGAGAGTGTGGCCTTGAAAACACCTTTTCTTGGAACCCAGAAAAAACCTTCTGCCATTTCGGGGAACCAGGTACAGGCCACGCCAAGAACGAGAGCCCGAGTCTTTCCCCCGCCTCCTTGATGGCCTCCTGCATCACCTCGCGGCGAACCAGGACGCGAACAGACGCGACTTGCGACTTCGAATTCTTGGCCCTTTCCCGCGCCTCAAGGGGAAAAGGAGGAAATGTTGACCCCATATTATAAAACCCCAGTGTATGAATATGGGGGGTGTTCCCACCCAAAAGTGATGACTCCGCACTAAGCCCAGGGACACCCCCCGTAATAATAAGCTGGGGGTTGATTCATATGGGGTCAACATTAGATGGCACAACTCCCACGCCTCAAAAGGCCCACTGCAAGGATAAAAAAAGGGATGAGCCAACGGGGACGTACACAATCGACCTCCTACGAAGGTCGAGTAAACGAGCCCCAACTCTTCTTGAAGGACTCCCCGGTTCAAAGCAACTCCTGCATCCCGTGATTCACAGGTTTTCTGGAGGCTGATTCCCCGCCCCTCCCGTGTCAGGATCCCCGGCTAAGCCTGTCCTTCTCAAAAAAACAAGCCAAAAAAGAAAAAAACAAAATATTTATTTAAACAAACAAAAACAAAAAAAACGGGAGATCCGCGCGGGAAAAAGACACGGAAACACTTGCGCCTCCAAGTTCTTCCGGGGTGTCGTGCCCTCCGAGAGGAAGGTCAGCCGCTCCTCCACCTGTCACCGGCAAATGGTGGGTCCAGGCTTTTAGTGTCTCGCGCATTCTCTAGTGGCCGGGGTCTGGGATTTCAAATTCAGGTGCTACCAAAACAACTCACGTTGCACGCACGCACGGCGTCTCAGAATGCCGCTAGCCGCGCTAGCTTTCCTTGGGTTTTCCTAGCCAACCCCTGAGTAAACATCCAATCGACCCCCAAACCCCAATCAGCTCAATGAATCAATCACCCCCCCCAAAAAAAAAAAAAAAAAAAAACATCAACCCCCCCCCCCCCTTCCCCCTCCTCAAAAAAAAAAAAAGCAAGTCCCTCGGCCTGGTCCTTGAGCTTCTCCCCGAACACCGTGGTGGCCTCATCGGAGAAGCAGTCGATGCGGCTCGCCAGGGAGCACTTGTTGGCCAGGTACCTGGCCAATTGACGGCCGCGGACGCGTGTGCCGTGGGTTCTGCGATCAGGGGGTGCCTTTTCCGTTCGTGTGATTGAAACTGGACCTGATTTGCAAAAACCACCCCTGCCAAGCCCAAGTAAACAGGCCGTTTAACCCTGCATTGGCGCCTTTGGGGCCTGGTACGTCAGGCAAGTGGTTAGTATCCGTGGGCACCATCTACTTACCATGGCAGCCACCTTGCCCAGAGGACAGCCGCAGGGCAAGACTGACCATAGCAAAGGTAGCGACAGCCATCCTGGGCCTACACCGGCGAGAGCCGAGCGCTCGGCTGGGCATCTGGCCCGCCTCGATATCCTGCCCTTGTTCTTCTGCTGGGCCCGGCCAATGAAGGTGGAGTGGAAAATCAAACCTCGGTGTCGAATGACCGAATGAAAGCCCAAACTTACACCAGCCGACTGAACTACCAGGCCCCAAAAAGTGTGGACGCGCGACTGAGCGAGCCATAAAAAAGCTGCTTGGGCCTCCCGCACGATTCAGGTGGTGTTGGATTGAAGGCAAAGAACAAAAAGCCCCGAAAGCTCGGCTGGCCTCCCAAGCTCTCGCGCCAAGGTGCCGTACTTGGGCGTGTTGCCCTGGCGGCAAGGCAGCGCTTGCGGAGCCAGGAGTACTGAATTCGTCTAACCCCCGGGCCCCCAGGACTAGGCTGGGTGCTGTTGCACCGGGGCCCTGACGGAGAGGGCTCCAACCACACACTTCACATGGAAGTGGGGTGGTCATTTGCGGGCGGGGGGGGAGGGGGGTTGCCGATGTGGAGGATACAAACCCCTGGTTGATTCATAAGGGGGGGGGGGCTGATGGAAACGTCCGCTTTTGGAGCATCCCTAATCCCAGCCTTCGTGGGACCTTGTCAGGTACCAAATCACATCCTCTGAACATGTAGGGACCTTCCCGCAACCCTGGCTCCGCAGCCTAAAGGTGTTTCTTCAAAAGAAATCTCTGGGTTGTCAACTCGGTTCCTTCCTCCCCCCCCCACCTCCCCCCTCCTCGCCCCACCTCGCCCCAAGACATCACCAAGCACCCCACCAAGCCACCCCACCAAACCAAACCAAACCAAACCAACCAACCAACCAACCAGCCAAGCCTCCCTCCCCCTGCGCCTTCGTCTTCATCGCCCTGAAGAGCGCCTTCTCCGCCCCCAAGATCTGCACGGTGCTCGCGGGGTACTTGGCCAGGTTCGTGAGGCTCCCTGGTAATCTCGGATGCTCCGCGGGCCAAGCTAGGGACAAAGAGATAAGCCGGGCGTATGGTGTTTCTGGTCGTTCAGGTACATGTATATTGTATATATACATATGTGTGTGTGTGTGTGTGCGTGTGTGTGTGTATAGGTATAATATAACCATGATTTCGAGCGACTTTCTCAGCACCCCCAACAAGTAAGTGCCCCTAAGTGCCCCCAAGGGAAATCGGAGTACATGCTGCTCTTCATAGCATGTCCAAAAAAGGCGGTTTTCCTAGTGCTTGTGTTGGCGTAGTGGCTTTGGGGTAGCGGAACCCATTCTAGAAGAAACAAGAAGAGAAACGGTCCCATTTGAGTGTGCATCCAAATGAGGTAATTCTGACGGGAAGCATTCACTCCTGGTTGGCCAAAGCAGGATCCCGTTTAAGAGGCGCTGCTGAGAGAAATGCCCCTCCCCAATATGTTTGGTTGATAAATGCGGGGACGACATGAACCTCCGAAACGGATAAGAGAACTCCGTTGCTTTGAACCCACACCAAAAAAAAAGAAGAACAAACAGTTTCTTTTTTTTTTAAAGGGGGGGGGGGGGGGGGGAAAAAAAGAAAAAAAACACGAACCCTTTCGGAGTTTCTCAGGAGATGGGACCCCTCCAAGGCTCCATAGCTCACTTCCTGAGCGGATGGGGCAACAATGTCCGAATCTTGTTGCGTGCCACCGAGGCGGTCTTTCCAAAACGTATACAGTCCTGGGTTGCTCTCCGACCTGTTGCAGGTTTCATATAAAAATGCCAGTTGTCTATTCCAAAAGATCCTTTTGAAGCGATTCGGCCCTTGAGACCAGCCATGAGTCTTGAAGGACCTCGGGGAGCTGAATGCGACGCTTCGCCTGCGTGCGAGATGAGCCGGGCCCCGATGATCTCCCCGATCAGCGCGCCCAAGTTGGGGGCCACCAGGTCCATCTTGGCCTATCGAGTCTGGTTACCTGCTAGGAGACAAGGGGGACCCAGCTGCGGAAACGCCGGGGCAAAGTCGGTTGGGGATGTTGTGATCATGTCCTTTTTAGGTCAGTTTGGCAGCTTTGATTCCATTTACCAGGGCCACCTATTTTTCCAAAAGGACACCTATGATTGTGAGATTTTGATATTTTTTGTCTGGCACACTCCAACCAATGTGCCATAATTGACATTGACCGGTTCTGGGAAGAAATCCTGGATCCTGATGAAGAACTGCGTACCGTCCTGCAAACATGATATCCCCACGATGCACTAACAGTTGAGCTTTGATACAGCTGCTATAGCAGATGTTGAACACATATGTGTATGTATATATATCCGCCAGTGTATGCCTCAAACACGCACAACAACACCCACCCTAACACAGATTTCACCGACCATTCCACGCACAAACCACAAGAAGTCTGTGTTCCCAAGTCAGCAGCTGCACCAGTCCCGAAAGGCGGGACAAAATGAGGGAAGCGGCGACTCTTCGCACGCCTTGAGGTACTCATGCAGCGTCTTCCGCCTGAGTTGGGACAAATAGAATAGGTGATCCATTGAAAAAGGACACCAAAAAAATCCCCCAAACCCAACATGTCCAAAACCCTCGGAAAGGTTCACTTCAATCCGCCGAAGTGAGTCTCAGGAGCCCTCAACTAAAACCACTTGAGACCCCTTCACTGGGGTGAAGGCATGTCAGCAAGCTTGATCACCTCGCTTGCAAAGTGGTCGATGTTCTTCATATCCATTTCCACGATGTCCTACGTGCGGTGAAAGATGCGCTATGCGCCCTACGGGTAGGGAGCTCGTTTTGTGGAAACAAAATGAGACCGTTTTGAGAAAATCCTGCATCTAACAAACCCTGGAATGATGATTCCCCCGCAAAGGTCAAAAAACAAATGGTTTCCCCGTGATTTCTTGGGTGGCGCGAAATGGATTTCGTCCATCCACAGTGGGACAGGTTGATTCATCTGGAGTCAACAGTACGCCACTCCTGGCCCATGGACATCTTCATCGCCTTCCTGAGTGGCGGTCGAAGGCACGGTGGAAGGCTCCATTTCAGAAACCAAGGTGCTTTGAGCTCCTCTCCCTTTCGTTTTGCCGTGTCTTTTTTCAATGGCGAAGCCTTCCTCTGCAAAGACAATGATATATTCGCACTTCCAGCTTTGGGATTAGGGGGCGCCGCATGGCGCCGAATCTGTTTTTTTGTGCTTTTGATTTGTTTGCTTGACAAGAAAACAAGTAGTTATCGTTTTTGGTGGGAACCCTATCGCTTTACAGCGTTCTGATGTGGGGGGCCCTCACGTTTTGCGAGGCGTTCTGCAAATTCATGCTGCCAACCCCGCTTTACTAAAGTGATCCACGCATATTTCGACCGTGACTCATATGCCCCAAATGTGGCTTGGCAACCCTACTCAAAATGAAACACACGGTTCGGGCGCGACCTATTCTTCACTGAAATTATTCACCTAAAAGGGCGTCCCCAATTTCACAAAGGGCAGTGCAACATGCATAATTGCATCCGGGACTCGTGCTCCGGGGGGAAAGCACAAGCAAAAGCAGGGCAAAAAAGCGCTGCAACATTGTAAATGTCTGTGTGATTGTGTCACGCAGGAGGAACTTGGGCAGTTGCAATAGCTTAGTCAGCCGAAAGAGGTCGCCATCCCGAAAGCCTCGAAACATCATCACCGACCCAGCTTACCCCCCACCCTCCACCCCCCAACAAGCATGGAGTGCAAGAAAGTCCTGAAACCGAGCTTCCGAAAATCCACAAAACGTGCTTGTTTGCCTGTGCACTTCCCATGTTTGTCGACCCCGCCCCAGCCATTTTCCCCCGCCATTCTCACCCCTGGAAACCACCCGAAACCACCCCTCCCCCGGCCGAGCAACAAGATCTCGTCCGCCACCTCCTCAGAGCCAGCGGCCTCGCTGAGGGCCTCCTTGTCTCCTGCCGAGTGGCGGGTGGGTGAACTTCGCCTGGTCACGAGCTGTTTGCATTTTGTCCGAAGACCAACATGTAAATAGAAGTCCTGAACGGGAAAATGAGGATGAAGCGCTGGCAAAGGACTTAAAATTCCTGAACTGCAACTCCAAGCCCAAAAATGAAGGTGAAGGAACCTACATCATCCCAAATCGGAGCTCGCAATAGGCAAAATGTTCCCCGACCGAAGCGACTAGCGAGGCGGCCGGTCTGTTCGCTGGGACGCGCACGAGAGAAGCATCCAAGAATCACATGCTGCCAAGAAAGAAGCCTTCAAAATATCTGAATGTGTTTCTGTTTGAGGCTGGGGCTTGGGCGCTGGAATGACCTGCCGGGCTTTGCGAAAGAAAGTCCTGCTGGGCAACCCCCTGAAATTGACCCTAAGGGTTGAATGCGGAAAACCGATCTGGAAATCAACCTGGCTTGAACGGGTGACCACTAAACGCAAGACCCCCACATCGGACGTTGCCCGCGGCTCAACACTTGAGTCGCTTTGGGGAGCAAGCCGACCGATCCCATCGACGGCTCCGCCTTCGAAGTTGTCCCTCACCTCGGTGAACAAACCAGCACCACCAGCACCACATGGCTATCCACTTCGGGGAGGCATGAACTCGGAATAATAGTCGCTTGCTAGTGGGGGTCTGCAAGGGGTCGCGGGATTCCCCGACAGGAGTTGCTCAACTCAGTGGCCATTTGAACCATCGCCAGGTCTGGGCAAAATGAGGGGGTTCAAGTTTCCGGGAAGTGACCATCCTCCCAAATGGCTTGCGCCCACCCGCTAATATTCATGGGATGGGCTTTGGGCGGCTCGTGGGGTGCCAGCGGGCACAAAGGAGCTGACCATCCACACGAAAAGAAGAAAAACCAAGGTAGAGACTGAAATACGCCCAGGCATCCGCAATTGCAACCCCCGGAAAACTTCCGGAACCCGCGCAAGCACAGGGAAAATGGCCAAGCACCTTTTCCACATTTTCGGGCCTGGTGATTGACGTGATGTGCGTTGGCCCCAGCCACAAACAGAAACACTACAGAAACAGGACAGCAACTAGCTCCGCACCCTCCTCCTTCTCCCGGGATCCGATCCGGGGCTCCGATCCGAGGGCCCTCCAAAACCTCTCGCTCCGATCCGGGGCTCCGATCCGGGGCTCCGATCCGAGACTCCGATCCGAGGCCCCCCGCGCGGATGACCCGGCTCACCTTGGCATAGGCGATGTTGTCCGTGACGATCTTCGTGAGCTCCGGGAAGTGCCAGGCGTACCACTCCTCAGAGAGGAGCTCTCCCCGAGGAGCGCTCTGAGAAGGAGAGCCGTTCGGTGTCTTTTTATCATAGGCGTTTTTTAAAGGGAAAGTAGATGGATATCCCTAATGGATGATGAACCCACCAGGTAAACCAGGAATCGCCATCTATTGTTCAAGCAAAACAACCAAAAGGGACACCTATGCTTCCCATAACTTCCACTTGCATTTTCGCCCACTGGAGAAGAAGTGGACAATATAGTCCAGTCTGAAACCAACAAGGGAAGCAAATGGAAAGACAACCTTTCTTTGCAACAGGTGGTTCCTATCCACACATCGGTTTTTGGCGGAGTCAAATGGGGAAAGGGACCTATGCAGCAAGTTGTTTTCTGCTGAATTCACTGCCCAAAGGGAATGGTTAAGATTCCAAAGTGGTCTCCTTAATCTTTTGCTTTTCTCCGCCCTTCCCATCATGGAAGCAACCAGGTCCTTTCAAAAGGAAGATCTGGCTAGTGGCCTTGTGAAAGATTCCGGGGGCCTCCAGTCAGGTTGCATGATGATAGGCTAGAGAATGAAAAACGCTCTCCAAACCCTGCACTTCCCAAAAAGTCCGACGTACTCTTCCTCCCACCAACATGGCCTTTTCAAGAAGGGTACCTGGAGGATAAAAAAACCAAAACAAACACACACACACACACACACACACACAAAAAAAAAAAAAAAAAAAACAATTACCTAATACAAATACAAACACAAACAAACAAACAAACAAACAAACAAACAAACAAGCAAACAAACAAACAAACAAACAAAACAAAAAAGAAACAAAAACAAAAACAGAAAAGAAGGAGGGAAGGAGGGACCGGGTCCGGGTCAGCTGCCATGGCGTGAGGGTAGGCTCCCAAGACTCCAACCCTTCCGCCGGGCCACCCGGACTCGCATGGCGAAGGTGTTGATGTTCCTCGGGCAGGACGGCCAGAGTGGTCACCCCACTCGTTTCTCGGGGTCCCAAAACAAGTGGTTTGAACGGGCGGGAATGTCCTACAGAAATGGTGGCCGGAAGTGCTCCACAGGTTTACGTGGTTTCCAACCAAAAACACAATTTGTAGAGGAAACTTCTTTTTGGGGACCTCCCTTTTGGGTTCCATGTTACTTTGTAGGGGAGTGTTCAACCACTTCCATCTTAGAACAGCATCCCACTGTCCCTTGAGGTTTGGGCCAGCTACCCCTTGGTGATTTGGATTGGTGGGGACTTGAACCCCTGGCTGTTGTAGAGGATAAATGGGAAACCAGGTTCTGACTTTTAAACCACCAATCCAAACCATGGCCAGTTCATCCACCAGGGAAGCGTCTGCCTTTCCCGGACGTGAGCTCATGCTACCGTTCATGCCTGCGGCACTTTTTGCGCGGATTGCAAATGAACTTGGGGCATCAACAGGGCAAAATAACAAACAACGGTAGGACGAGTGCAGCTCTGGTGTCCGTTTTGGCCATTGGGAATCAGCATCGCACGGAAAATCCTTGGAATTCTGGACATCTCACGTGCCCGCATACCCGCGTGTGACAGCTCATGGCAAGGGGCTTGTCGAGGTTGTCCAGCAATGCAATGGTGTTCATAATGGGCTTGTCCTGCAAACCCCCACGCGAACAGCACAAGAGCCCCGCGAAGGAAGCTCAGCGCAGCTCCGAGCACCCGGATCCACTGTCCCCATCGCATTTTGCCCCCCGGAAATTGTCCAAGAGTGACCCCCGCAGCCCCAATTTTCCGACTTTTTGAGAACCCCCAGGCCCCCCCCCTTTCCCCCGAAAAGGGAGACAAAAAAAAATAGAAGAAAAAAAGAAAAAAGAAAGACCCCAGGCCACCCTGGCGGGCGCCAAACAAAAAGAAATCCGGCCCTCCTGGCGGTTGGGATCCAGCTGCATCCTCGAGCGGCTGAAGGCGTGGCCCAGGCCCAGGCGCGCCTTGTCCAGGTCGTTCTCGCTGAGGTCCTCTCGTGGGGCCACCGGGGCCCCGGACGTCCAACCCAAACCCACCGGGCTGTTTGGTGGGAAGTGGTTTGGGTGGCCCAATCCGATTTTTCATCAATAGGAAATATCTCCTCTTTAAAAAAGAAAGAAAGAAGAAGCTACTGAAATACTTGCTGGTGCGATAAGTGGGGGATGTGGTCGCATGAACCCAGGCTCAGGGGTCCCCGAATAAAGGCAACCAGTTGGATGGATAGAAATGGGTCATGTCCATGTCTCATTCCCTGCTAACCAACCTCCCAGAAGGCCACCGGAAATGGGACCAAGTCTTCCCCAGAGCTTCTGAGAGCTTCCCATGGGAAGCGTGCCATTCGGAATCCGTCCCACTGGGGGCACACTGGGCCGCCTGGAAGAGTGTACTAAACTATTGTTTGTTTGTTGTTTTTGTTGATTCTGCTCACTTTTGGAGGTTCCGAGAAGGGAACTTGAGGCGGATTTCAAAACGTTAAGGGTCGCCTGAGAAACAGACATCGAACAACGGCTTGGCTTGCCAATGTTCAATGTTGGGAGCCTGGATGCGGCTCCCACTTCGGGTGTTGTTTGTGGCTCCTTTTTGTGGCCCCGTGGCTCCCCCAAAATCCATGGCCAGTTGTGTGGACAAACAGGGAAGGGAAAGAAATGTCATGGGCAAAGAAAAGCATCGTCCACAAACTGGAGATAACGAATCCGCGCTGCAGAAGGCTCGCGGAGCCCATTTTGCCCCAGCTGGCAACGCTTTGCCCACATGTGACTTGGAGATCGTCGATCAACCCTCGCGATTTGGAGGAAACCACACAGTCACAAACATCGCTTTTGTTTGTACGGAGACCCCTCGTTTTTGTCTCGCGTCTCTGAACTCCTTAGGCCCTTACTGGCTGAAAAGGAAGCCCGAGGAAGACCGAGCTTCAGTCCAGCTTGGTCTTACCACGGAGTCATCCGATGGTGCGGATGTCGGCAACCCAAAGAATTGTGGAGTTCGGATTCCGGAAACCTGATAAATCTGCCGGAAGCAAGTCCCACACGGTAACCCCCTGAACACCATGGCCCTCTTGATTAGTCCGATGCCCGTCTGCCAAGGCGTCCTTCACCAGGCGGTTGAAGTGAAGGCGGCAGCCTCTGAAAAGCTCCTGCAGAAGCGGACCGGGAAAACGCGGCAGGCCCGCAATGAACCTGGTTGGACAAACGCGGAGTCAAGAACCCCCGCCCCCTCGTGCCTGATTTAAAGAACGCGGAGTAAGTCACATAACGTCCCTCGGACCCCAATTCCGTCAGAAGGTATGGATTCACTCTCGTCTGCCCCGGGACATGTATGGACTTGGCAGGAACCGCCCGCGCACGCTGTACTTTTCCCATACGTAGAGGCGGGGACAGTCAAGGGGGCAACCCACCAGCCCATGGCTGCGAGATTTTTGATCACCAGGGTTTGTTTGTTGATCTCTTGCTAAAGTTGAGATACATGATATCTCGTGAATGCAGCTAGGCTTCCAAAGGTCTGGCTGGGAACCCTCAAAAAGGATCCAGGCATAGGTGTCCTTCTGGCAAAAAAGATAGCACTCGCAAATGGAATAAAACCAAACTGAAATCAAAGCCATCCATTTTCAACCAAACCGTCATAAAATGGACACCTACGGATGTTGATGCCCAGAAGGGAGCAAGGGAAACCCTGCAAATTCCCATCATCCACCGTGGGACGCCCTAATAGACCACGCCCCAACACACCGAGGGCGTTTGAGTCCTTCACCGACTGCCCGTGGGTGATGGGAAACTGCTCGGCCAAAGCCTGGCACGAGATATAAGCGAGGCATGGCTTTGTCTCGAAAAATCCCGGACCCGCGAAAAAATGCAGTTTGTTTCCCTTTTGGTAGCCCTTTGAAGCTGCCCCCCCCCAAAAAATGGTAAAAGTAGGGGGCCTGGGGGGTGGCCTGTTGAGGGTTGCCTGTTCTGGTTTTTATGTTCATCTCAAATCTGTGTTCCCCCTTATTCGTTTTTAAAAGAGGGTTTTTAGGGAGCTTATTTATCGTTTTCGTTAAGGTAATCATTTGGGTAATTGCCCCCCTTGTTCATTGTTGGGCTGGGGGCAGACATTTTTTTCATTTGAAAGAGGTAGCCCTTTTAGTAGTTATCAAGTTCTGGGGTGTTGGTGGTGTGTTTGCTTTTGGGTCGCTCGTCCCTTTAATTCGGTCGTTTGCCACCACGCCACGTCTTCATCCTCTACTTCATTGTTTCAGCCAGACACTCAGTGTGTCGTTTGCTCTGAACATCTTCCAGTATCAGACATATGTTTGGAGAGCCAGTGAAAGAATGGTGTTGAGAGGGGTAAGCAGTCTTCAAAGCTTGACTTGTCGCCACGTTATTTACTTCAACAACTTGATGTTTGAGATTGCGTCCAGTTGGACTTTGCCTGTCGTCCATCAAACAGCCATTTCTCATCAATCGTGCCCTCACTCTGCCCTGCTTTGCTTCAAACCCTTCGGTCTGAACAATGGCACCCAAGAGCACTCAACCTTCTTCGGCTTCGGGGTACGCAAACGCAACGGACGAGAGCCAGCCCGCTCAGAAACCAGACTTTGCTCTTGGAAGAAGGGTAAAACAAAATGTGAGGACAGCGCGACCGCAGAGGTTGGAAGACACCCCAAAAATATGTGTGATGATTACCCCTCAGTCAGGGTAAGGTCTACCCCGAAATCTGGGCAAGGGTAAGGTTTATACTGAGAGAAGGGTAAGGTCTACCCCAAAAACGGGGTAAGGGGTACCCCAAAGCTGGGGTAAGGGGTAAGGGCTACCCCAAAATCGGGGTAATGGGGTAAGGTTTACCCCAAAATCGGGGTACACCACCACCACCAACACCACCACCACCCCCTTTTCTCCCACCGCTCCCCACATTTGCTCTGTCCTGAGGTTGAGACGTCATTCAGAACATCGCCTTCAACACTGTCGTCTATGAGGTTTTGGTTGAGGGAGCGGGTAGGGATTGTGGGTCTTTTGCTTTTGTTGTTATCCCAATCCCACCAAAACAAGGACCAAATCTCCCATTTCTCAACTCCCCCAAAACCAACAAACACATAAACTTCAATATGTTCAGTTTCAACCTCATCCCCAAACCCACATTTCCAGTTTCAAACCCAATCCCAAACCCAATATACTTATAAGACAAGAGAAACGAGAATATCTCAAAATATCAGTATTGATATTTGCATTTTTCAAATCAAGGGAAATAACACTAAAACCCAAATCCCGAGCAACCCGACCAACCGAGCCTGTCCCTGAAAATAATTCTAATAATTTCATATTATTAGAACTATCTAGATAATTATTTTATGGAATAATGCCCATATGGTAATGAAGTGAAAGCATCACTATAAAACCTTTTATTTTCATAATTACTCAGACTTTGCTTGACTTGAGACATTGAATATATTTGATGCGACTTACTTCTGATGAAGTTATATGTGATTTCATGCTTTTTGTTTTGAAATAATGCTTCGTGGTAGTTCTGATACGACAGTTCTTTTTTCACTTTGTGTTTGACTACACCTTTTGATTTCTTATGTTCATCATCCTCACCATGAATTGTGAAGGCATAAGATTTAGGTTTCAATCCGATGAATTTAGTAATGATTTTTCCATTCACTTCGTCCTTAAACATTCCTAAGACCTTTTTATTAGTTTTGTCATGACATGGATGCTCAACAGGATAGTCGCTAAAATCCATGTGTTGCTTTATCTCATTGAAATCCTTATAGACATCATCAGTCATTGTTTGAATTACATAACTGTCAGTATCAGTATATATCAATTTGATGTTTTCATTATACTTCTTTTTCAATACTTCATAATAAAACTGATACATATGTAATTTGCTTAAATCTAAAATGCTCATTCCTAAGAAAATCGGTTTATCCAGTTTCAGTTTTGCTTTAGTTTTCTCAACTCCGACGAGATTTTCATTAATAATAAATCTATTTTTGAAAGTTGGATTATTAACGCATTTTTCATATCTTACCTCATTATCAACCAGTTCAAAGTCCATATGGTTTCTTTTGTCTTCCATAGTTTTTCCGTACACCGCGTTATTCATTAATTTGAATAAATCTTTCTCAAAATCGCTTTTGGCTTCTTTCCTTTTACCAGTGTTGAAGTCAATCCACGGTTTCAACCATGCCCTCTGTTGAAATTTTATTATCCTATGGACTTTTGTCATTTTCAATCCCATTTTCAAATAATACTGTAAAGTCTTGATATGAACCACATATTTTTCTTTATCCTTTAGATTTAATATTAACTTACTTGTTTTCTCATCCTTGGGATTTTTGCCATCATAATATATTTTGTAGACTTGCTTTTGATAATCAGAAAGCATACTAACATTTACATTCATTATTTCAGGCGCTAGTGGATAGTCAGAGTGGAAGTCGTGCAATGTTTCGGGATATTCCAAATCAACTTCCATAATATAACCGAACTCATCGTTTTCATTCCATTTTTCAACACTGGGCGTTTTCTTTGCCCACTTGATATTTTTTAGCGGTAATTTCTGGGACATTGCTAAACCATACAAGTTATTAGCATCCAAGTAGCTAATATAATTTGATGGCTTGTTCTCATCATATGCTTCCTCCATATACTTATTATTTGCCACCGCTAATTTATGACTTACCTGACACATACCACCTCTCATTCCCTTTTCAACCATCTCAAACATTTCTTGGTCATGCAATTGTTCTATTTCAACACCAGTTTTTAGAAGCATCGCGTCCCATGCGAAATTTGGCAATGTGTAATAATGAGCGGGGTCTAAACCGTAGTATTCCATACACAAGTCTCTAAAGTTTTCAAATACATCGGTCAGTAGTAAAACATCAGTTCTTAAATACAAGTCGTGATACTGCCCGAGTGTTCTAATCCCGAAGTGCTTCCAT